GTCTATTTTTGCCATTGGATTAAAAAACTATTTTATTATTGGTTTCTTAATAAATACTTTTTGTATATATTTAATAAAATTCTCAATATAAATATAAAATAATATATGTGAAAATTATTGAATTTTAATATTTTTGAATTTTAATATTTTTGAATTTTCCTTTTCACACCTATTGGGTTTTAGTAGTTGCATGAGACTTGTCAAACACGAACACCAACTTTTGTGAAAAGTAGAATTAAATATTCATTCCCTTCGTTATTTTTTATTAGGAAAAAAAATTGAAATATACTCTAACTTTGGCCGAAATTGTTGTTACGATACCAAACTTTGGAAAGGACCTTTTACCCCCTGTACTATTTAATAATGTATTTTAAAGATATATATGTGCTTACGTGGACATCATAAATATTGCATCATTTTAAATAGTAATGTATCCACATGGGCACATATATACCTTTAAAATACACTATTAAATAGTGCAGGGGTAAAAGGTACTCCATAAAGTTTGGTATCGTAACAACAATTTCGGTCAAAATTGAAGTATTTTTCATACCCTTTTCCCTTTTTTATTTATCACGTCTCGTTTTACGACAGTTAATTTGATCAATTCTTGGAGTTAAATTAAATTAGAATAATTTATTATTTTAAATTTTAAATTTAGATGTTCGAAAACTTTATATAAAATATTATATATTGGAATCTTTTTTTCATATTAATATGATGGAGAATATTTTTTGAAATATTGATTGAAATTCTGCAATTGGACTCTTGAGAAACGAAATCTAACAAGTTAAAATATTGAAGAAAGTAGAATTTAACACAAACACATTTAATATTAGGATTTTTACTAATACAATAATTAATATTATTAAATTGTAGCCAAATATAAATTACTTTCCACCAAAAATATATTTTTTAAAAGTACTTGTCGAAATAAATTGTTTTTTAATATTTGGTCAAACAGTTTAGATACTCTTTTTCTTTTAAGGTAAGTAGTCATATGTTGGAAGTAGAAAAAAAATGTTTCTTTTAGTGGTGGGAACAATTATTTTTATAGTATATATTTGACTGACCATGCTTTTTTTCTTTTAACAACTAATATGCATTATTGACCATTCACCACTTTCAAACTTTTTGACCCTCTCTCTTCTGAAATAAAAAATAAAAATTCTTTCTTAAATATAAGCATATATTATTATTATTATTATTATTATTTGACATAGGTAATTCTATTACCACCGGTTTTGATCACCATTATTTTGAACGGAGTAATTAGGAGCTACATAATTATTACTCTCCTCTCGTTATGACATCTTTAAGAAAAATATTTTAGGACATAAATAAAATGTTATTTTTCACTATTGATCTTCTAAAAAATGTAAAGTAGTTAAAAACCTTATTAAATAAAAAATAAATATGAAGAAAAAAAAATTCTCTCTTAAACTTTAAACTTCGAATAATTCACTTATTTTAAATTATAAAAAAAAAATCCATATATTTACTTAATATATTGACCGGAGGAAGTATTATTTATTGAAAGTATGTTAGATCATCATGATCAAGTAATATGAATGAAACATTGAGTAATTAATTATAAGAAGTATCAATAGTTAAATTAATGCTAAAAAAATGTGTATGATGATTAGTGACAAGTCAAGTGGATATAAGTAAGTCTTAAAATAAGACAACTATATATAGATATATAGGAATATGAAGCAAATTGAAGCATAAAATTAAAAGCATTGACTAGTTCCTTTCATCCCCAAAGTGGTCTAGTCCACATGTTTGTGGTATGACTACAAAGAATTTTTTTTAGAACTTTGGTAAACATAAGCGGTATCAAAATTTTAAATTTATAAATTTTGATTTTAGACAAACTAATTTACTGAATTCCGAATAAATTTTTTTTATATATATATTAAGTGAATTTTAAAATATGAATATAAAATCTTAATCAAATTAAATTGTTGAACCCTTATTGTCAAAATCAGATATATGTAATTATATATAATTAGGATATGTTACACACATATCAAGGCCTCACGGAATTAACTACTAACTTCTTGAATTTGATTGTTAATTGCCAATAGTTAAGTGGTTTTATTTTTTCAAATATAATAAGACAAGATTATATGAGAAAGAAGAGTAATTTGTAAACATTTTTTTTTATATATATATTGTAGACTTGTTCAAACAAATCAAGGAATGTATTTGTCCAAAACGCGTAAAAGAAAATTCATAGGAGTTTTTAAAAGACATTCTATATTACTTGGTTCTTTGTTTTTATCTGTGTGATGGCAAAAGAGAAAATCTAGGATTTGTATTTTATCAAATGTCGTTTTTATCATAGAAAGTATTCTTCTCGTCTCAATTTATCTGATGTAGTATCATAGATATTCGTGTAGCTATAAAATATTTTATATTAAGAATTATAAGAAGAACATTTAAAAGTTAAATTGTTACTATATAAAAATATGTCATATAAATTAAGACATACAAAGTAATTCTTATACAAGACATTTGTTATGAAAAAAGGTCCTCGATCTTGTACTAAAAATTTCATTAAAATATATAAATATTTGATTGTGAATTTAATTTAAAGTTATTATAAAAATTCATTAACTTCAAATCTTTGATCCACCTCTAATCACACGAAATCTGTAAGAATTTCTAAAACAAATTCTCTATTGATAAACTTTATAATCTCAAATCCTCCAACACATATTCAACTCCGATAATCATAATTCATGACCAAGTAAATTCTGAGTCTCCAAGAAAATTAGATGCATGCATAATGGACAAAATAATGGATATTGTTTAATTAGCATGTAATAAAATAAGCAAGTTAAACCTTGACCGCGGCATGAATAAAAAAACGTCAAAAAGGAAACAACAACTCACAAACAAATACCAATGCAACAATTATGCTATATCCAATGAAATTCTGCAAGTGAGTTCTGTGAAAGAATAGACATGAAGATTTTATTCTTATTCCATAAAGGTAGAGAAGTTATTCTCGAAGGACCCTTGGTTAAAGTACAACAAATTAAAATAGTTGTCATGTAAAGGAAAAATGGCAGTGCAAAAAACACGACAATATACTACGTAAAGCAGTAAAGAACATTCAAGAAAAGAATATTGATGATAAAAAAAAATAGTGCGATAATCGAAACACAACAAAAGATAACGAATATGAAAAACAAGAAACTACGTGAATGAGGCTAATAATACTATGAGGACAGACACAATATAGTACTCTAGACCACCACCAACCTATTCAATGTCGAAAAGCTAAGGCAATGTTTCACTAGTTAAATTACTAACCTTATGTTATAATTCACGACCTTCATATATCATTTTATCTAAAATCATGTCCTCAAATATCCGAGAAACAAATATCAATGCATCTTTTTCAAATATTCATAAATTTCGTTTTATAAGATTGAAACTAGTTTTAAAATTTTAATTAACATTTTAAACAATAATACTTTATCATTTTCATTTTGTAAAAGGAAAAAAATGTACAGCACTTTTGTTCAATTCTGATTATTTAAATCTTAAATTTATTAAATAAAGCAATTTAATCCTTTTTAACTCTAAGACCGATTCTTAATAATGGTATTAAAAGAACATATAAAATATTATGTCCTAAGTGATTTTAGTAAGTTTGTGGAAAAAATTGTTCTTTTATTGCATACTGCGGTTAATTTAAGGCACTATATATCCACTTGACAAAACGGTAGCTTACAGTTACTGTATAGATAGATATATTATAGTTGACTACTACTAAGTCATGAATAGAATGAATTTTAGAATAATTTTTTTTTGTCTTTGTTCTATCTTTTGTGAAATAAATTACTTTAAAGAGTCGTTCGGTATGAGATATAAGGTATAATAATTTTGTCATAAAATACAGAATTATTTTATTATGTGTTTGGTTGGATGTATAAGGTAGTTTTTGAATTATATATTATACTATTTATTTATACAATAGTGATAAGATAAGTTATCTCATATACATGATGAGAAAACTTATCTCGAAATAACTTTATCCAAAACAATTAATCTCAAAATAACTTGTTTCCAACCAAACGATCCCTCACGATTATGGGAGGAAACACCATCAAGGGATTCTGAAAGAAATATATTCAAAATTAAACTTAGGATTTATTGAAGTACTTATCTCTAAATTTATAATATGTCCACCTTTTTATTTTAGATTTTTGTCCCATGAAATTTTTGAGAATAGTAATAAAATATACCCTTTTGTTTCAATTTATGTGATATATTTTGTTTTTCGAGAGTCAAGCATTTTAAGTTTGACCAAAAATTTGCTCATGAAATCTTTAAAATTTTAAAAATGAATTTTTTTATATTTGTAAACTACTTAAACAGTACCATAATTCATAATAATTGACAATTCAAAATATTTAAAGTGAATTAGATGATAATTAGTTTATATTAATTCATTTTACATTTTAAATTAAAATATTAAGACATGATACGAAGTTGGAATGGCAGTTATAATGTTTCATTCCATTTCAGCAAGTTGACAAGTATTATTAAACAAACATAGTACTATATTTAATTCCATTTGTGTGTTAAGGAAAATACCAAGTCAATATGGTGTATACTCAATCTATCGTAAGTATATAATAAGTGTATGATATATATTATACTAAATAAAATTTGTAAAAATAGTAATATATTTATTTATGCTTTGAGCTTATTTTTTTATTTTCAATATCTGAAGTCTGTATTGGAGTTCCGACTAAATTTGGATCGCACACTGCAGGATCCATTTTGGAGTGACAGTACTCTATACCTAGGTCCGAACCCGAGATCTGATCTAGCTATGGTGTGAACTTTGTTGGGTTGTTGTGTAGCAAGTTCCTTTCGTTATTATCCCTCTATTTATTAATTCATCTCAACCAAATTTGTCTTATAAATAGCCCTTACTTTCATCCTCTCAACCACACTTAACACAAATATTCTTTTCTTTCAACTTTCTCATCTAAGTTTCTAAGCTTTCCTTGTTGTCTTTACTTTTGCGTTTTGAATCAAAATGGAATTTGAGCAGCTAATATTGAGAGAAAACTTAAGAGAACACCACAACAACAACACTAAGAAATATAATCATAGTAGTTCTATTAGTAGTATTGCTTCCTCAGTTGCTTCACATGAAGATTTGAGAAGTAGAATTGAATCATTTCATGTCAGGGAAAAAGCTATTTCCAAAACTGAATCCGCTGAAAAGAAACTTTCATGGTTACGTTCTCAGATTATTGGTGAAAATGTTGATTTTGAGACGCCTTTTGGGAAACGTAGGCTTACTTATGCTGATCATACTGCATCAGGAAGATCACTTCAATATATCGAAAATTATATCATCAATAACGTCCTTCCTTTCTATGGTATGTTCGTTTACCTTAATTTTATAGTAGTAACTACGTAGTACTAAACCAGAGGGAAAAGATAATAATAACGACTATTGTATTATTTTGTGCAGGTAATAGTCATACTAGTGATAGTCATGTGGGATATCAAACAACAAAAATAGTGCATGAATCAGCAGCTTATGTGAAGAAATGCTTAGGTGGTGGAGAAGAAGATGCTATTATGTTTTGTGGTTCTGGTTCTACTGCTGCCATTAAAAGGCTACAAGAAGTTATGGGGATTTCAGTCTCTTCTATACTAAGAGAAAAAGTACTCACAAAATGCTTTCGTAACGAAACCAAAGAGAGATGGGTTGTGTTTGTTGGACCTTATGAACATCACTCGAACATTCTTTCATGGAGACAGAGTTTAGCTGAGGTTGTGGAGATTGGATTGGACGAAAACGGGCTAGTAGACATGGAAGCCTTGAGGGATCAGCTTGAGTTCTATAAGTCTACGAATAGACCATTGTTGGGTTCATTCTCAGCTTGTAGTAATGTTACTGGGACTTATTCTGATACGAGAGCCATCGCTCGTCTACTTCATAAAAATGGAGCTTTTGCTTGCTTTGACTTCGCAGCAAGGTATGACTATAATTGAGTTTAACTTCTATATACTGACAGTCTGTCTGACAGTACTTATAAGAGAACTAATTTTTCACATGTTGTGATGTTGTAGCGCTCCATACGCGAAAATAGAGATGAGATCAGGAGAGATAGATGGATATGATGCTGTTTTTATTAGTCCTCATAAGTTTCTTGGAGGTCCAGGCACACCTGGAATACTTCTAATTAACAAAGCACTATATAGATTGGGGACTTCACCTCCATCTACTTGTGGTGGTGGTACTGTTGATTTTGTCAACCCCTACAGTGAAAAGGTAAGAATTTTAAATTTAAATTTTATATATTTGGTATAGTTTAACCTTATTATATGATGAAAGTTTTTGTGTTGTCCTTTTCATTCTTATTGATCTTGATGTCCTTTTCACCTTACTTTATTTGTGTCAATTGTGAAATATTGTAGTTTGCACAATCAGTACAAAGAGTATGACGGATGAATTTGACTGTCATTTATTGGGTTCGTGTCATTTTCCTTCTTAAAAAACAAAAACATATTTGAGATAGTTGATAAGTAGACTAATAAGTCAAACAAAGAATTTCAGACAGGCAAAATTCTTGTACTTGAACAAAATAATTTTTTTTATTTGAATTTTAGATTTAGTGGGCACCATGGCATGACATTCCAACAACCATCTGTAAATTGAATTATAAGTGCATGCTCTCTTCTTCCATTACCAGTCTAGATATTTAAAGGATAAATACATCATACAACAACATACACAGTGTATTCCCAGTTTCCCACAAGTGGACCCTGAGAAGAGTATGATATACGAGACCTTACCCTTATCTTTGCAAAACAGAGATGTTGTTTCCAACAGACTATCGAAAGGATAAATACATCATATTTAAATAAATATTGGAGAAGAAATTAAGCTGTAGTAGAGAAATTCAACTGTTTATGTAAAGTTTCTATCCTTGTGTGTTCAATTTTTTTTAATCTTCTGCTTTGCTGTCATGATAATTCTGAAGCTAAAAAAGACTCTTTGATATACAATACAATTACCAGGACACACTCTATGTGGAGAATATTGAAGAAAGGGAAGATGCAGGAACACCACCAATCATTCAGAAAGTGAGAACAGCACTTGCATTTTGGGTGAAAGAGTTCATAAGTCATAAAGTTATTGAAAGATTGGAACACACCTACATTGAGCTTGCACTACAAAGGCTTCTCCCAAATCCTAACATATGGATTTTAGGAAATGTAACAGCCAAGAGACAAGCTGTGCTTTCTTTTCTCATTTATACTACAACTTACTCTTCATCAAGTGATGGCAATGGTGGAGACAATGAGCTTTACTTATGGAGAGAGACAGGGAACAAGAAAGATAAACCTCTTCATGGCCCTTTTGTGGCTAAGCTTCTTAATGACCTCTTTGGTATTCAAGCTAGAGGAGGGTGTGCTTGTGCAGGACCCTATGGACATACCTTGCTTAAGGTTGATGAACTTCATTCTCTTGCCTTCAAAGATGCAATTGAAATGGTGAGTTTCAATAAATAAAGGATTTACCTTAATGTAGTATATAATTATCTTTTAGGTGATCTGATAGTTGTTTTTGACATGACAGGGTTATACTGGAGTGAAGCCCGGATGGACAAGGATAAGCTTTCCCTACTACATGTCCAAGGAAGAATTTGAGTTCATTCTAGCAGCATTAGAATTCATATCCATTTATGGACAAAGGTTCCTTCCTTTGTACAATTTCAATTGGAAGAGTGGTGCTTGGACTTTCAAGAAGAAAGCTTTGAAGGAGGCTCTTATGGGTGGAAGGGATCATAATTGCAACTTTTGTGGCTCACCAATGATGAAGGAGTTGAACTTAGGTGGTGGTAATACTTGCCATGATAACACAAAAGAAGGATCATGCACCAATAGTAACAAACAAGGCATTATTTATAAGTATGTAAAGTATCTTGAGACAGCCAAGAGCATTGCTAGCCTCCTTCCTAAGTTCCCACATCAAAGGCCAATACCTGAAGAACTAGACACTAATCTTGTGTCCTTTAGAGTTTGATAAAAATATGTATATGGAAATAAACTTTGTCCAATGTCTTGTTGGGCAAATTCGATCGTTTGATATGTAATAACTTAAAAGTAGTATTCCCCTTGTTTTGTTTTACTTGTTCAGTATGTATTTGTATTTTCTTTAAGATAAACATTAACTAAGTATTTTTTGATTTCTCATTTGTTGTTGATCGATACGTGTTTTACTCTCTCATTTCTCATTTGTTGTTGATCAAGAAGGATACTACGTATTACGTAACAGTCTAATTAACAGACTGTTTGGCTAAGCTAGCTTCAGAAACTTGACAATTCGACAATTTTCAGCAACTCCCTAGACATGTTAAGGGACCATATCAACTTGATAAATTGCACTGACTTGGTTGGATCCTGTTTTCATGGTGCTATATAATGGAGTAACTTGGGACACTACAAAAATCAAGCTTCCAAATTCCCTTCAAAACATTCTATAGCCAGTGGATAGTAACATCTAGCATGGAGAACCATATTTTCTTATGGATTCTTCTCTTTCTAATTCAATGTTATTATGTTTCTATATCAGTTGCTTCTTCAAATGAAACAGACAAAGAAGCTCTACTAGCTTTCCAAAATCTTATAACAACTTCTTACATGGTGGCATCCTTTATGGCATTGGCCACCGGCCTCGTTTGCAAGTGATTGATATTCAAAACAATCAGCTCCAAGGAAGTATTCCAGCAAGTCTATTTCAAAACCCGAGAGTTGAGGTAATTTCATTGGCCTTCAATAAACTCAGTGGTGAAATGTGGAAAGGGCCTTCAATAAACTCGGGTATTATCCTTCTCCTTCGATTGGAAATCTCACAAAATTGATCAACTTCAGTTTGTATAGGAATAGAGTGAGTGGCAACATTCCAAAGGAAATTGGAAATTTGAGCCAACTTGTAGACTTGTCCTTTTCTAATAATCGGTTAATAGGTTCTATTCTTGCAATACTGTCTATTAGCTTGAAGGACTTTACTTGGGAGTCAATCAGCTCGAAGGGGAAACTCCATTGTTCATAACAAATGCTTCCAAACTTGAGAAGTTTAAGGAGTGTGTGCTAAATATTGCTACTCTGATGGTTACTTCATTCTTTCTGATATTCTTGTTTGTCTCAACTTGAATAATGAAACGAAAGAAGAAAGGACAACGAGCAACAAATAAATTTCACGGATCAAATTTAATTGGCGTGGGAAGTTCTAGCTCTATGTACAAAGGTTTTGGATGAAATGAGCAAGTATGCAAAAGGTTTGATTACCGAATGCAAAGTAATGAGAAATGTTAGAATATCTGCACCATGGTAATGACACTCTGATAGTTCATTGCGACCTAAAGCCAGCAAATGTTCTTTTGGATGAAGATATGGTGGCTCATGTTTTTAGCCATAAGCAAGTCCATGGCACATACCGAGATATTGGACACTCTTGGATATATTGCACCAGGTATTCTAGTCTCTTTCTATTTTCAATGATATCATCATAATATAGCCCTTCCAAAATCTAGAACTAAATAAAAGCAAGTGTCAGTTAGTATTGTAATTATTGTTATGTTTCAATTGAATAACTTTTTTTTCATTTCCTTCTTTTCTAAGAGTATGGCTCAGAGGGAATAGTGTCCGCTAGTGGTGATGTTTATAGCTATGGTGTTATGCTAATGTAGGTTTTGGCAAAAAGAAGGCCAACGTAACTGAGAATAGATATTCAATGAAAATCTTGGCCTGAGGGGGTGGATAACGCGAGCATTTCCAAGAACTATGATGTTTATTGAGGCAATTTGCACCGGTATGTTTTTTTCTCTCTATGATGTTATTGAGGCAATTATATTGTAAACTTCTTCCATTTTTGTTGTGATTAAGATTTTTGATACTGCAGTACAACTTTTAGTAAGCTATTGTTAGAATAAAATCATGAAGCTATAGCAACATAGCCAGTTGAAACAACATCAAGTTGTATTTTTTGTTTTGTTTTGATAACCATGTTGTCCTGATCAGTTTGCACGCAACTCAACTAATTCTGCGGGATATTTGTCACCTCTCATGGAGTGCTGTCCAGTTATTGACTTTTAACATAATGTTCATTTTTTGACTATTAGGGAGAAAAACCTCTGCCTTAAGAAAAAGTGTATAACCCAAGGCTACGAACAAAATTTGATTTGATTGAAGACCAAATACAGTCTGTTGATCTGTAACACATTGTTTAAGCTGTGATAAACCAATATATAACTCATATGATGAGATGTTGAGAACCAGTATATTGATTTTCCTTTACAAGTATGTCATGTTCAATATTGTTTTTCTACTACTTTTAGTTTATTACATGTCAACTTTGAATTTACCAACCAGGCATTGGCCAAGTGTATGATCATATTGGTAAGGATCAGAGCAAGTTAATGCTCTTCAGACTCTAAAGGGTACAAGATTGGGGTCTATTTCTTCAGGTATCGGTCGTTGAGGTGGGAACTTGGGAAGGAGACTAGCGATACGCTTGGCTGTCTCAATGTACTTTACATACTTGTAAACAAGACCTCCACCATGGTTGTTTTCTTTAGTGTTATGGCAACTTATATTCAATATGTTAGTCATTTGTGAACAGCAAAAGTTGCAATTGAAAGCTTTTTTCTTGAAAATCCACGCGCCACTCCTCCAATTGAAATGATACAAAGGGAGGAACCTTTGTCCATAAATGGATATGAATTCTATTGCTGCTAGAATGAACACAAATTCTTCCTTGGACATGTAATAGGGGAAGCTGACCCTTGTCCATCCCGGCTTAACTCCACTATAGCCCTGTCAATTCAAAGATAACTTATGTAAAATGATGTAACAGTACCATTTCTTGAGGAACATTGTGAACAGGACAAGTTCTTGAGGGAGCTGTTTTATGATCAGTTTAGCATAAACTTGTTAGCGAAATATTTGCACCCGAAAGACATTTTACCATATATGGCACATCAAGAAATGGAATGTCAAAAGCTTAGTGAATCAAACTCACCATTTGAATTGCATCTCTAAAAGCAAGAGAATGAGGTTCATCAACATTGAGCAAACTATGTCCATAGGGTCCTGCACAAGCACATCCACCTCTAGCCTGAATACCAAACAGGTCATTAAGCAGCTTAGCGACAAAAGGACCATGAAGAGGTTTATCTCTTCTGTATTTTCCTGTTTCTTCCCATAAGTAAAACGCGCTTTCCTCACCATTGCTATCATTTGATGAAGAGTAAGTTGTGGTATATATGAGAAAAGAAAGCACAGCTTGTCTCTTGGCTGTTACATTTCCTAAAATCCATATGTTAGGATTTGGGAGAAGCCTTTGTAGTGCAAGTTCAATGTAGGTGTGTTCCATTCTTTCAATTACTTTGTGACTTATGAACTCTTTCACCCAAAATGCAAGTGCTGTTCTCACTTTCTGAATGATTGGTGGTGTTCCTGCATCCTCCCTTTCTTCAATATTCTCCACATAAAGTGTGTCCTGTTAATTTTATTGTATATCAAGATTCTTTTAGCTTCAGAATTATCATGAGAGCTAAACAAAAGATGAAGAGTCCGCACAACTTAATTAGTATATACATACCTTTTCATTAAAGGGGTTGACAAAGTCAACAGTACCACCTCCACAAGTAGATGGAGGTGAAGTCCCCAATCTATATAGTGCTTTGTTAATTAGAAGAATTCCAGGTGTGCCTGGACCTCCAAGAAACTTATGAGGACTAATAAAAACAGCATCATATCCATCTATCTCTCCTGATCTCATCTCTATTTTCGTGTATGGACCACTGCAACATAACACCCAAAATTAGTCGTCTTTTCGTGACATGACATAATATAACAATTCTTATAGCATACCTTGCTGCAAAGTCAAAGCAAGCAAAAGCTCCGTTTTTGTGAAGTAGACGAGCGATGGCTCTTGTATCAGAATAAGTCCCAGTAACATTACTACAAGCTGAGAATGAACCTAACAATGGTCTATTCGTAGACTTATAGAACTCAAGCTGATCCCTCAAGGCTTCCATGTCTACTAGCCCTTTTTCGTCCAATCCAATCTCCACAACCTCAGCTAAACTCTGTCTCCAAGAAAGAATGTTAGAGTGATGTTCATAAGGTCCAACAAACACAACCCATCTCTCTTTAGTTTCATTACGAAAGCATCTTGTGAGTACTTTTTCTCTTAGTATAGAAGAGACTGAAATCCCCATAACTTCTTGTAGCCTTTTAATAGCAGCAGTAGAACCAGAGCCACAAAATATAATTACATCTTCTTCTCCTCCACCTAAGCATTTCTTCACATAAGCTGCTGCTTCATGCACTATTTTTGTTGTTTGATATCCCACATGACTATCACTAGTATGACTATTACCTGCACAAAACAATACAATAGTCGTTATTATCTTTTCCCTCTGGTTAAGGATGAAGCAGTACTATGTAGTTACTATAAAATTAAGGTAAACGAACATACCATAGAAAGGAAGGACATTATTAATGATATAGTTTTCGATATAATGAAGACATCTTCCAGATGCAGTATGATCAGCATAAGTCATCCTACGTCTTCCAAAAGGCGTTTCAAAATCAACATTTGCACCAATAACCTGAGAACGTAACCATGAAAGTTTCTTTTCAGGAGAATCACTCTTAGAAATACCATTTTCTCTTGAATGAAATGAATTATCAACTCTTATACCAAAGTGATCTTCATGTGAAGTAGTTTTAAGATTATTGTACTTCTTCATGTTTTGGTCTCTTATGTTTATGTGTTGCTCAAATTCCATATTACAAAACTTACAAGAATTTTATTTGTGTTTGAGATGATGATAACGTGCTGGTATTTATTTCAAAGAGGAATTAAAACAGAGTTGAATTTTTTTGGTATAAAAAATTAGAGGAATAGAGACTATAATTGAGGTTTTTAATTTCTAACTTGAATGATATCTACGTGGTCCTACTTAGATCCATCAATTAATTTATTTTATATTTATCATTGATGAGCAAAGTGATGACCAAGAAATAAAGTTTCTTTATGAAGTTGTCTATGATCTCTTTTTGATGGTTTTGTTCCCTTTGTTTGCCTATGAGACTATATATATTGGCATCGAAACCA